AAACTTAAGATCCTTTTAAATTTGGAAAGCTTTAAACTTCTATTATTATTTGGTCCTTATTGTAGACTAAGATAACCCTTCACTTCAATTTACAGTTTCCAAAGTATTGATGCAGTTTTTCTGCTTTAGGGTGCATTGATAGCTTTGGTTGAATATGACATTCATACAAAAATAAAAACATTTAAATGTCAAAAAAATAGATGCATTGATAGAAAGCCTCTGAAATTGGTTCCATTTGTCAGAAAGCATAAAATCCTCTATTAATAGTCTAACATCCACTGCAGTACAGTGCCTATATGTGGTGCCCAAAGACCTTTAAAACAACTGTTCTTTGAACAAAGGACATAAAGTACATGTTTGATGTAGTGTTGGGGACCTAGTTCGTAAGAGTAGAAAGTGTGGTTAATTCTTGGGAAGTGTCCCCAAAGCCACTTACTTACTTAGAACTTGAGTAGCAGGAACCCTTTAACAGCAAGCTTGCTCCCAAGTTTTGTCCTATTCTAGAGACTGACTAGCACAACTTCTTGATGATTCTTTTCACGTAGGCAGTTTAAGCAGGAACTCAGTTCTATCTCACTGAATGAGGAGACTGTATGGCTGCCATTGAATTAACTACTGTGTTTATCATTAATTTCTTCTTGCCCTTGCACATTAAATCCCTTATGTGACAAAGCTTATGAGATTCACCTAACATATCTAGTGGCAGATAGATAACCTGAAACAAAACACCCAATACAAGAATAAAGGATTGTACGGAAAACAGCCTGGCTGCTTACAATACAAAAATTACAGACAAATCCTTCAAAAGGGAAGATGACAACATTTATTGTTATTACAAAAGCAGATTTAACTTTAGTCATTTGAATAATTAATTGCAAGAGCAGACTAAGGGCTTAATCCTCACACAGGCACCAAGTCAGGCACTGTAGGTAGCTACAAATCATAAGGGAAGGTTTTTTTTTGTTTTTTTTTTTTAACCTAGAACACTTTTCCATGCTTTAGGCTAAAACACCCAGCAAACCTAATCAGTTCCCTTTAGTCCTTTTTTTTTTTAATGAGATCTAGGTATTAACCTGCTGTTTAGTGAAAACTAGTCACTAAATCCTAGTCTGAGAGATATCCACATTTCCCTTAGAACATAAACTAGGTAAGAGGTGTATACATTTCTGAGCGCCCAGTCTGAGTCCTTACAATGCAAACCTTGCAGACTCAGACCTGTTTTCACTTCCTGCATGTGGAGGAAATGGAGGTGAGGACAATCACCTGAGAAGCGGAGAGCTCAGGCTCCTGCACACTCTTTCCCGGCAGCAGGAAAAGGAGGTAGCAAGGACTTGGGCTGACATGTGAAGCACTAAGCTAATGTGCCCAGCTGAGGGGAGCCTTGGGAAGCACAAAATGTCACTCCATCTGTGTGTCCACAAACCTGAGGTTTCCACATTGTTTTAATGGGAACAGAGGCAAATGTGACCAGGCAGAAAAGACAATTATCATTCCCAGTGTTGCTTGAGAAATCCTGGTGTTTTCTGCCTAATCAGATGTAGTGCCAACCTGCTTTTCCCTTATACTGGAGAACAGAAAGGTTTTCATCTTCACTCCTCCAGGTCCTTATAATAGTCCTTAGCCAGCATATTACCATTTCAAGGAAGCATAGGGTTAGAGGTATGTGAAAAGTCTATTTACTGAAGGGAAGACTCAGTAAGTTCTAGGATATTGGTAATCAAAAATATCCTAGAACTCAAATCAGCAAAAGTTGAACCAAATCTACCCTATCTGAATCATGGCAGTAAATTGGTTCAATTACTACTAGGAAATAAAACCACTTTCTATTCCATTTACTGTGAAATCTAATGTAACCAACCAACTTGTTATATTTAAATCTAGTATGTCTTTTGAGTTGTGCATTCAAAATTACACTTGTTTAACAAGTTACTGTCATGGCAAGATTTCTAAAGAAACAAACAAGATCATAAATGTATTAGACAGATACCATAATGATTAGATCTGCTAGAATCAATGAAAAAGTTAGCTAGAAGAAATAAAAGCCGTATTATTTGGAGACAGATAATTGTCTCCCAAATCCAGTTGATTGCTGTCTACTTTACATGTCTGTGAGAGGATTAATGGCATAGTTTGTTCTGATAAGGTAGGCCAACATTGAATATAACATTTAGTCATCCTATAATCAGCTGTAGTACTAAAACCAGAATTTTCACAAAGGGTTTAAAGGTTGGAAGTTGCCTGATGTTAAGAGCTGTAGTCAAAACTGCGTATTTGTCCCTTGACTACCTTAAATCCCTCCTCAAAGCACTGACACTATCATCCCGGGAAGTAGCAGCCCAAGAAGGAGTCCGTGCCAGTAAGGAGAGCTGCTGAAGGTGCTGTCCCATATAACAGTCATCAAAGATCAAGGAGTTATTACAGTTATAACTAGTGTTCTTGAAGACCACCAGGGGAGTTTAGGTGATTTTTTTTTTTCCCCAAAGTTCATCTTGGGAGCAGTTTTTCACCTTAGATTCAAATCTTCCTTGGGTTACAAAAATGCATCTGATTGCAAGTCTGGCCCAAAATACTTGGAGTGCTTCAGCTGCAAAGATGCCAGTAATTGTTCAGCTACATCACAGTTCAAAGTCTCAGATTGTAAAAGCAGTTCTTGTAGTCGTGTAACCAGCAGACAAGTAGGAGTTAACTCTTGTTTCAGTGAACAACCTGTACTTTGCAGTAGAAGTTTTTATATTCAATTACCATAGTCCAAGATTTCTAATTTGAAACAAAATAGACATGGGTTTAATTACTCAAGAATACTTTACTATTTGTCCTTAATGACAATATACACTCAGTCCAACCCTTTTAGTTTGATTTTACATAGATTTTCACTGGATAAATTCATTTTGTAAATTAAAAACAAATAAATGCTATATTTTCCCTTTTCCCACAGTAAGAAATAAGGGATTAATATGGCAATTACATTAGTTTATTTCAGTGACATTTCTTAAATTCACTTTATTAATTTAAAAAACTATTAAATAACCTAGCATGAAAGCTTTACAAAGAACATTATTGTGAAAGATGCAAAGAAAATCATGATTATAACATTTATATAGAGAAAAAACATTTAGCTTTGTAATATGCTAAATATGTAGTCAACTAGTCTATTTTTGCATTGTCGAGAATATAAACATTTGCACTTGAAGACAGAATAACAGCATAGGAACTTCTATTGCTCTTTAAAGGTCAGACATCTCCCATGCTGCCAGTTCACTTTAGACATTTTTTTCCTTATCCAAATGAGAACCAGTGTAACTGGGAGTTTAAAATATATCACATTTAAGTGGAACACTTCTCAAAGAATTTTAAAGCCCATAAAATGTATGATGTTGGTTAACTCTAACATTGGAATTTCCTCTTAATCACCTAATTTTGTAAATGTGCAAGAATCAATGTGATTTTTATAATTTTGTATTTTTATTATTTGTTATTTTTTAAGAGATAGGCCCTTCACAGTTGATATCTAAGTTGTTTTACTTAAGAGCATTGGCAACATGCACATAATATTCTTATCAGGCAAATATTTTAATAGCAAACATAACTGCTTTTTAACAATGTGCTCAGTTTAAAAGGGGGATATCTACCTTTGGAAATACTTTGTGACTCTTGAACTTTTAAATATTTATTGAGATCCAAGCAGTTGCTAGTATTTATTCTTATTAACATGGAAGCACAAAAGAAAATATGTTCTGATTAATGCTCCCATGTCTCCCAGAAAAATAAAAGCCCAGATATTTGCAGACATAATAGAATTTATTTAAATTCCATGCAATCTCATAGCCATGAGTATAGTTATAAGAAACTGCAGGACAATAGCTTTGCTCTGTCCATGAGATGTAGCCTCATTCATGAAGTGAGTGGGAATTCCATAGGGAAGAAAACACTACTAGATCAAGTTTTATGTTTTGTAACTGAAAATACAGTCTGACTAGGCTTTTTTTTTCCTGAGAAGCAAGATTACAGGGAAGAGATCTGTCATTAAATATACAACTACAAAGTATCTTATGGAGAGATAAATCACAATCTAAAAGAAGCCAAGTCTTTTGATAAATGGCAACACTACTTAAACCCAGAAATTGTCCCTTCCAGTTCTTTTATTCTCATGAAAAAATTTAAAGTCATGATAGTTGTAGCAGAAAGTTATCCTTCAATCTAAAAACCACCACAGTGCTATGCTGTGGTTCAACCACATCACGGTTAGCAAATTTGAGCTTTATGCTCAAGAAAAATGTAATTTACTTAACTGAGATTAAATGTATACTGTGCTTGATTCTATTTATCACTGGTGGTTTTATTTTGTGCAGATTCTGATGATTTTAAATATGTGTTCCTTTAATTGCTGGATGGACATTTAGCTTTAGCCAGCAAGGATCATCCAACCTTTAAAGTTACTGATAGAAGAGTAAACTGAGTAAGTTGTAGAACTGGCGCTTGTAATGAATACAGTTTTCATAGGAGATACATGCAGCTCTTATAAATACTAAAAGAGGCATTTTCGCCTGGTCTCAACATGCTTTCTTTATTGTCAATTCCACTAATTTAATGAGTTAATAGAATTTTCCGTAGGGGTACAATTTTAAGCTTTACTTACAAAAGCTACGGTATGCTGTGTGTTTTTATTTTACAACTTAACTGTGTTTAAGAAATCATGTTAAAATATAAATTAGCAGAAAATAACTAATAGACCTAGTAAAGCAGTGTCATGGTTGCATAAAGGGATTTAACTGTATGTATGCATTAACCATCAAAAGAAGGGTCAAACTAATCCTTTCCTTTAATACAAACTTGAACATTGGTTGTAAATGCCTCATTTAAAGTAGTGGATAGGGAAAGAGTTTAGAAAAGTCCAAGTAATAAAATGTAGTCAGTTACTTGGGAAATTTAAAAAGCTAATGCAACACTGTTACATCCAGATAAAAAACATTATTCAAAAGCAATTCAAATACCGAAAAGGATTTCAAATTGAATATTTTATTAATATGGTAGTTGTCTTTGTAACATGTGCACACACACTCGCACACTCAGAATGATCTGCCTGGGGAAAATATCACTAAATATGCCTAAAGGGAAAATGAAAAATAAAAAAATTCCTGTAGGTTTTCATTATTGTACACAATGATGTCCACATCACTTATAAAGCTATTGCCAAATCTGTCCAAGGAAGCAGAGTTTGAAGAGGAGGGGGGAAATCTCAGGAAAAATTCAACAGTGGCATAGCAGAGCTCTCAATATGAGAAAGCTGACATAATGTGGACTTTTGCTGTGAATTTTCTCTTTGCAAAATATGGGGAGTTTATCATTGGGCAGAAAATCAGAGAAGGCGGTGTGAAGTAGGCTTTTGCAGTCAAATTTCCTCACAGTATTGTGCAGGGTCATCAAGAAAATGCTTAGTCTTTCTCTGGAACCAGTTTCAGAACTTTTCCAATTGCAATGGTCTTACCTAGAAATGAAATTTCAAAAACAAACAAAACAAAACAAAAATACCTTTCAGTAGTTAACAGCAAGTCTATATAAGGTACTAAAGCTTATTGTTCTAAAACATTAAAAAAAATTTTTTTTGCAATGAAAATTACTAGTTAACTGGCTTTACCACCAAAGCCATAATTTCTGAGTATTCTTAATAAGTGGGTCTTATTTGTGGGAGCTGGAAAAGAAATATGATTTCCCATGTTAAAAAACCTGTCCTTGGACAAACAAAATGGAATATCCATACACTGGAATACTATTCAGCAATAAAAAGGACTTACATGCTACATGATTGAACCTCAAAATGCCAAGTAAAATAACCAGACACAAAGGACCACATTTTATTATATGATTCTATTTATGGGTTGTCTAAAAAAGGCAAAGTAAAAAAATAGATAAAAGGTTGCCTAGGGCTGGAGGTGGCAATAAGTGGTGATTATAAATAGGTATAAGGTTTCCTTTTAGGTGACTGTAAATGTTCTGAAGTTAAGAATGTGGTGATGGAAGTATATACTCGGTAACCATACTAAAATTCACTGAATTGTATACTTAAATTAAAACAGGTCAATTTCATATTATGTAAATTATACCTCAAAAAAACTGGGAAAAAAAATCTATCCTGAAGCAACCAAAGAGCAACTACAATCCAGTGAGCATATCCTTCCAGTAGTATTCTTTGGATTGAAAGGGATAATAAAACCCTTCTGGGTCTTGTGAAAAAGCTAAAAGTCAAGCTATCTTTCAGGAAAAAATAGTTCTGGGGTTAAAAATTCTTGCTACCCTAATTAGTCTTTTTCTGTCTGCCTGATTTTTATCAGGTTCTGATTGGTAACCAAAATGATCCTTTTGTTATACTACTAGGACAAACCTTAACAATTAGAGTTTTAAGCTAAGAAAAAAAATTTTTTTTTTTTTTTTTGAGACAGAGCCTCAAGCTGTCCCCCTGGGTAGAGTGCTGTGGCATCACAGCTCACAGCAACCTCCAACTCCTGGGCTCAAGCGAGTCTCCTGCCTCAGCCTCCCAAAGCTGGGACCACAGGCGCCCGCCACAACGCCCAGCTATTTTTTGGTTGCAGCCGTCATTGTTGTTTGGCAGGTCCGGGCTGGATTCAAACCTGCCACCCTAGGTGTACGTGGCTGGCGCCTTAGCCAGTTGAGCTATAGGCGCCGAGCCAGAAATTTATTTTTTAAGAGGGGGTTTTTGCTATATTGCCCAGGTTGGCCTCTAACTTGTGGGGTCACTCGATCCTCTTACCTCAGCCTCCTGAGTAGATGGGATTACAAGTATTGGCTAAATACTAAAGGTACACTCTAAAGCAAAAACTGTCTTTATAGTTTTTTCTCTTTAGTAAGATTCAGGGACTGTATTTATTACCAGAGCTTAGCACAGTTCCTGACACTCAGTGGATATATAATAAAGCTGTGGTAAATGGAAATGGAACTAACATGTAAATTAACTATTCTGTATCTCAACTGAACTATAAAGTAGTTTTCTTCCTCCATTAAAACAAGTGGCTATGAACCATAAAGTTCTATGTAAAGTTTTCCAGTCTTATTTAAATTAGAAATAGTAACAATTCATAAGGATATGTTTCGTAACAATCATTCTGCTTTCATACCAAAAAATTTCATGATCCCAAGAAAAGAAAATTACAGTTGTTTTGCATTACCAAGATGTAGGCAGAAATGGATATAAACCAAAGAACATGCATATCAGACCTCTGAAAAATTAGTTGTTATAAAAATATATTAACGTTTCCCCTTTATTCTCTACATATATTACAAAAGAATTTTAGCATAGAAATGTCTTAGTAAATAAAATTGCTTTCTTTGCAATCCCATTACTCACAAAATATCAAAATTAAGACTCTTCATATAGAACATTATTAAATTTAGCATTACTGCTAAAACATGTAATTTTCTTTTTCAAGACAGCTAACTCTTAAAGTACAGTAGAACCTCCATAGTTGACCACACCCCTACAACAACCACCTTAAGTTGACCTAATTTTCACAGACTGGACATGCACTGTAGTAGGCCTAGTTCCTAATGCTGACCACCTGTGTATGCTGACTAGTTTGTTTTATCTCTTGGGTGGTCAATTTACAGGCGGTTCTACTGTACTTAATATGAATATTTCTTTGAGCCTGTTGCAATATGTACTGCACTCAGATGATGATGATGGTTACCAAGGTAGACATCCTATTAGACTTGGTTTAAAATTCTTACCCTCATCTCTTAAGGTAAAACGACCCATCTGAGGGAAGTCTTTAAAGGTCTCGAGGCAGATGGTTCCTGCTGTCCGTAAACGAGCAATGCATACTTGATCTTGCTTCACAAAACGGGGTCGAGTCTTACTTTTTTCTCCTGATTTTTTGTCTACCAAGCAGATTAAGGCCTACCCAAGAAAAGAGGATGAGGTCAGAATAATTCCAAATATAAGACTCTTTAAGAACTGGAGTATAAAGTGTATCACTATTGCTAATCAGAAATTAGCAAGATAAAACAGACATAAAACCAAAATGAACAAACCAGTCATCTTAAAACAAACTCACTGTTATTTCCACTTCCTCAATACAGGTGTGAATGTGCAGCACCGCATTATACCCTGGGCAGATGATGGATTTGTGCTCTATAATCACTATCTGTCAAACAAACAAACAAAGAATTGAATATTGTCAAGTGCCATATAATATCACAAGAATTAGTATAACTCAGCATCTCAGTAAGACACCAATGTAAGTTATTTTTGTGTTAGAGGTGACAGTCTTATTTCAATTATCCTATGCCCTACTTACCTTCTTGGCAACTACCTGATCAACTTCAAAAACACAACAGGCAAAGCCAGGCCCACTGAGGCTACTTAGAGGCTAAGGAGGAAGGACTGCTTGGGCCCCAGAAGTTCAAGTCCAGCCTGGGCAACATAGCAGGACCCCATCTCAAAACAAAAACCACACACACAGCAGGCAGACTTTCTTCTCTGGGAAGACTTTCCTTTATATTCCCCCAAGGAATTAAGCTAATCATTACTGTTCACAGGTTACCTAAATAAGAACTTATAGCTTTATCCGTTTCACAATATCCAAAGTCCAGTAATAGTAAACAATCTTACATCTGGCATCAGAATTCTGTTAAGCACACCAATCTTACTCTGTCCTTTTCCCAAGGAGAGCAGATTGCTAATGGGGAGAAAATGTGTGTGTGATTTCCTTTCTGGAACAACCACACAAACCATGACTTTAAAGCTGCACTCTAGCCAGCATTAGATACTCTAAAATTTATCAACAGGAGATCAAAAATAAAAAGGAACTTACAAAGAGTACTACTTCCTATCCAGAAAGCACTTATACCCTCTTGAAGACCTTATGTGAGATACATGTGTCATGGCTGTAATATATAAATCATTTACTCTGCAAACAGATGGCCATAGAGAATATTTTGTAAATATTCTGAATAATTTTCTAATGAATATCTTGTGAATAAGGTACATTTAGCTACATTTTCCCTAAGTATGGTGACTTTGAGGGTGGCCTTTGGGACATCCTGTACTCAGTCCCCTCTACACATTATGAAGAGTGAAGTGCCTACGTCAGTAGTCAGGACAAACCCACTACAGTTCCAGCTTCACTTAGACTCTAAAAATCACTGAGACCACTATAATAACTGGTTTACCTGGGCATCAAATGTGCGTCCAGAATGACAAAGGTTATTAGGATCACAAAGTATGAATCCTGGAAGAATTTCCTCTTCTTCAATTCCTTTCAGTCTGATTTTGAGGTTTTCACCTGGGGCTACCGTATCAGTCTCTACGTCATCGGAAAGTATTCCCAGAACTTCAACATTGTGCTTTAAAAGAAACCAAGATTGGAGGTTTTCTGACACTTTCACTGCATACAGAACATAAAATCTGAATACTGAAAGGGTTACAAGTCAAGACTGGGTGTTGTGGCTCACTCCCATAATCCTGGGAGGGCGAGGCAGGAGGATTGCTTGAGCTCAGGTATTTAAGACCAGCGTGAAGTAAGAGTGAAATCCCACTTCTATCAAAAATAGAAAATATTAGCCAGGTGCAGTGAGGCATGCCTGTAGTCCCAACTACTCAGGAAGTTAAGGCAGGATTGCTTGCACCCAAGAGTTGAAGGTTGCTGTGAGCTGTTACTGCACACCCATTACACTCAACCCAGGATGACAGAGTAAGACTCTGTATCGAAACAAAATGAAAACCAACAAAACTCTGTAGGCGTCTGTGGACTATTTGATTTTTAAAGTTTTATTTATTCATTTAGACACAGTTCCCCTTTGTTGCCTCTGGTAGAGTGTTGTGGTGTCTTAGCTCGTAGCAACCTCAAATTCTTGGGCTCAAGTGATCCTCTTGCCTTAGCTTCCCAAGTAGCTGGGACTACAGGCATGCCTCACCATACCTGGCTAATATTTTCTATTTTTGGCAGATGCAGGATCTCACTTTCACATACCACAACACTGGGCTATGTTTTAGAGATGGGTCTTGCTCTTGCTCAGGCTGGTCTCAGACTTGTGAGCTCAGGCAATCCACCACCCACCTCGGCCTCCCAGAGTGCTGGGATTATAGGTGTGAGCCATTGTGCCTGGCCTTATTTTTTCATTATTTAGAGATGAGTTCTGTGTTGCCTAGGCTGGATCGTAGTGGCTATTCATACAAGTGTTCACAGCACACTTTGGCCTTGAACTCCTGTCTTCCTGCCTCTGCCTCCTGAGGTGCTGGGACTACAAGTACGTGTCATCATGCTTGCTGATTTTTCTTAATTTTCTGTAGTCAGGTCTTGTTATATTGTCCAGGCTCATTTTGAACTCCTGGCCTCCAGTGATCTTTCTGCATCAGACTCTGAAAGTGCTGAGATTATAGGAGTGAACCACCATGACCAGCCTATTTTTAATAAAAAGTATGGTCAAAATACACATAAGAAAATTTACCACCTTGCCTATAATCCCAGCACTTGGGAGGCTGAGGCCGATAGATTGCTTGAGCTTATGAGTTCAAGACCAGCTTGAGCCAGACCGAGACCCTGTCTCCAAAAAAATAGCCAGGCATTGTGGTGGGTACCTGTAGTCCCAGCTACTTGGGAGGCTGTGGCAAGAGAATTGCTTAAACGCAAGAGTTTGACGTTGATGTGAGCTATGATGCCATGGCACTCTATTAATGGTGACAAAGTGAGACACTGTCTCAAAAAAATGAAAATTAAAAATAATTATCACCTTAACCATTAAGTATACATTCCAGTAATACTAAGTATATTCACAATATTGTACAGCCAGTATTCAGTACTATGATCTCTTTTCATCTTGCAAAATGGAAACTATACACATTAAGCAATAATTCCTTCCACCTACAGACCCTGGCAGCTACCACTCTACTTTATGTCTATGAATTTGGGTACTCTTAGGTGCTGCATAGAAGTAGAATCGTGTACAATCTTTTTTTTTTTTTT